TCTGATGTTTGATGTTCTGATGTTCTGATGTTTGATGTTCTGATGTTTGATGTTCTGATGTTTGATGTTCTGATGTTCTGATGTTTGATGTTCTGATGCTCTGATGTTCTGATGTTTGATGTTAGATGTTCTGATGCTCTGTTTGATGTTCTGGGGCCGGAGTTCGGGGTCTTTGAAGATGATTTCTTTTGATCAGAAGTTTGTAAACACATCAATCTGATGACGTGTGTGAGATTATCAGCTCATATTTATTTTCTGCGTCTGAATTTGAATCTTTATTCAAAGAGCAGCAGGTGATGAAGCTGCAGATCAAACAGACGAGCTCTGCAGTGGTGATGAACATGAATCCATGTTCTGTGTTCAGCTGAGATGTTTACAGAAACATATTTTTAACACTTTGCTCTGTGAGAGGAGAGGTTGTCTCTGGTGAAACACCGTAAACCTGCAGCAGCTCGTCCGTCCTCGTGGAGCTGTGTGTTTCATATCTTATGATATTTCTGGAGATTATTGTTCACTTATGGAAACTTCTTTTCATTCTTTCATTCCTTCAAACCAAGTTTAACAATGAAACTACTTTTTATACCCAAAAGTAAATATTATTTTACAAAAGGAAGAAATGTGCACGTGAACCTAAATATCTGTTCTATCTGAAGCGCGTCCGTGTTCTCCTGCAGTGTTCCTCCAGCTTCACCTTTAGTAAACGTCGCCTCTCTGCTCAACGACAAACGATCCTTTCTGCAGAAAGGTCGGCAGGACTCGTGAGACCGACCTGTCTCTGTCTCTGTCTCATGGAGGGGTTCTGGATTCTGTTTGTGGGACAAGAAGACTGTTTGTTTCCCAAACGGCCTTTAAAGCTCAAACCAAATGGGACGCGTCCCCCGAGAGCTCAGATAACGAGCGAAGGAACCCGAGACAAGGAGATACGCTGAGTGTGCACATTGCAGGAATGAAAAACACTAAATACGAGTGTTCAGGGGTTCACGGGGAGGCGACACCTGAATGCATCACGGTCCGGAACATTGCTCTGGGTTTCAGTAATGACCTCCTGATAATGGCAGGGTCTGCGGGGGGGGGGGAACATGGGGTTAAGAGTAGTTTATTCTCCGTAGAGGAGAAGATGACGTAATCACGTCATGCACGAAGGGTCTGCAAGAGCTCGAGGCATTTGGTGGTGCACCTCTGAGTCTTTGTGACTTAATGCACGAGGATCTTATAAAGAAGGTTCGTTCACTTCAGATGCTTTAGAAGCAGGAAGTGATAATAATCGACATGAGAGTAAATATGTATCAGCCACAAATATGTTCTTTGTCTTTATAAAACATTTAATACTGGACTTGTTTCTTTACAGGGTTTGTATGAATGTAATGAGGTCGTTTATGAATATGAGATATGAGTTTATAGATGATTATAAACCTCTTCATAGTGGAGGTCAGTTTAAGGTGTTTCTTATCTTCTTGGTTCTTCTCAGTTCATTCTGCTTGTTCGTCTAATGTTTCAGAGAATAAAGCAGCAAACAGCACGTTGATCATAAACCTCATAATCATAAACATGCATCCGGTGCAGAGTATTAACAGAGCTTCAGATGTGGAGGAGAGAAGGTGGGAAGGGGGGAAGGAGAGGCTGAAGCCAGAAGCTCATGAATCTGTTGATGTGGTTCTGATCCATTCTGTAGGAACCTGCTCAGAGGAGGAAGAAGGAATCTTATAGTGATGGAACTTCTCACAGACAGGATTGAGTTTCTTTGTCTCCCAACACGCTGCTGATCGTTTGATTCTTTTCTTCTTCTCCTCTCGATGTTCTTGTGTGTGGAGGTGAGTTCTCGATGGGCGAGCTCCAGGATCCCTTCCTCGTCTGCGTCCACCTCATCGCTGACCCCGGCCAGGGCAAGTTGCTGCAGCGTGCTGCCGACGGCGTGCTGGCGTGGGTCCACCCTGAGCTGCAGCTCTTCCGGGTCTCGGAGCGGGCCTCCGTCTGCCGGCCCAAACGCCATCAAAACGGAGGCCCGGTTGGCGCCTGCCAACCGGCCCTGGCGGTCATCGTCTTCCTCCAGGAGGCGCACGGCGGCGAGGAGCAAGTGCTGATGCTGCACCGCGCTCTGCAGAAGCCGCCGTGGTGCTTCCACCACACGGAGACGGTCAGCAATGGCCGCCGGATGTCACCGCTGTCGCCGTGCAGTCAGGACTTCTTCACGCTGTCCGCCGGCACGCCGCTCTGGGCCATGCGGCAGGTCCACTACGGGAAAGAGATTGTGCGCTTTACCGTTTACTGCCGACACGGGAACTACGTGGACATGGTGCGGCTTTACAAGCTGCTGCTGCAGCGCAGGCCGGCACAGAAGAAAGAGGACTTCTGCTTCTTCGTGGTGTACTCCAACCCGGAGATGGAGATCCAGTTGTCCTTCAAGAGGCTCCCGCGAGGCCAGAGTCCCGCTGTGCTGGAGTCGGCGGTGATGGAGGTGAGGGTGCGAGATATCGGGACGCTGGTGCCCCTGCTGCCTCAGCCCTGCAGCCCCATCAGTGAGGTCCGCTGGCAGACGGAGGACTACGATGGAAACAAGATCCTGCTGCAGGTGAGGGGGGGTCGAGCAGCATCGTGTCGCCATATTCTGCCTAGCAATATTGTATTGATACACAAACGGCGAGTATCAATCTTTTTTATATAAACTACTCATAATTAGTGATGTCGGGATTGTAACATGAGCCTTTAGGACGCATCAAATATGAGCAGGGATGTGAGCCGCTGACTAACTACACAGTTTAACTATCAGAGAGAAGTGAGATGAACTGAGTAAAAACTTTATCTCATTCGATGCAACAGATGTTGACAAACTGCATCATTTACAAATGAAAGTAGGTAATAAATTGCAATACTCACAATACCACAATAATATCGTATCGTGACTTAAGTATCGTTATAATATAGCACCGTATAATACAATAATCGCATACGACAGAGAAAGAAGACGTCATCGTCTCTGGTGCAGAAGAAGAAGAGCAGAGAGGAAAGAAAGACGTTCAGAGACGGATGTCAAACGGATCATCATCATCATCATCATCCTCCTTCATCCAGACCTTAAAAAGGTCACATGAACACATTAAACTGATGCACGATGATCACACACACACACACACACACACACACACACACACGGGTTTTGTTTGGAGCGTATCACTTTCAGAGGGCATGTGTGTCCAGGCGGATAAGTAGTTCTGAAAGTTCAAGCCGATTAAGCAGCAGTCCATTACTGGGATTGGAACGGCACCGAGGGAAACAATAAGCTGATCTGGTGTGACAATGGACCATAAGCATGATGCTAAGCTACCTCCTGGCCTCTCCTCTCAAACACAGAGTCCCCGACACAACACAGGTTAGCAGGCTGAGTAGCTGTCTCACCAACGTCTGAAAGGGTCCTAACACTAGTTTAAACAGGAAGCCAGCAGCTGTTAGCTTAGCACAAAGACTGTAAACATTAAACATGAAGCTACAGCCAGCAGCTGTTAGCTTAGCTTAGCACAAAGACTGGATTCAGAGAAAAACAGTAAACATGAAGCCAGTGGCAGAACACACACACACTCACTCACACACACACACACACACACACACACAC